AACGGTACTTTTATGTTCTTTAGATGATAATGTAGAGGGACTTAAGAGTCTTTTGGAAAGCGAGAGCGCCAACGATACTCAGCAATCGGAGAATATTTTGTGGGAAAAAGATGAGGTGGGAAGAAATGCGCTGTTTGCTGCGTGTAACGTTACGCTCGGACAGAGCGGAGTAGTGCGCGAGGAGCTCGTGTGGAACGGCGCTGACTTGTAATTAAAAATATAGCTTGCCCACTTTAACACCTACAGAAAAAGTTGTTGTAGATGTGTAGTTATTTAGCATAACAAGACACTAAATTACCACTAAAACTAAAGCCTGAAGCGGTTTGCTGGTCTGAGCTGATTTATTGGGTCACACTTGTTATCCTTGGTGGTCAAATCAAACGGAAGACAATAAGCCTAACATATTTTAATAAAAATAGGTGTTCTACATTTTGTTTCAGTAATATTGTTTCTTGAAAACGTTTGCATTTTCACCTCTAAATTATGCACCATTTGTTTCTATATAAAATACATTAGAAAATGTCATAGGCCTATATACCAAGACAATTAAGTTCACCAAATGTTTTTGGTCTAAAATGTCAGGAGACCACCAGAGGGTAAGATATTTCTAAGCTTGAAAAGTGTCGAAAACCCTACTAAAAACCAGCCTGACCAAGACCTGCAAACCAGCTTAGGGTAGTTCACTGTTAATGGACCCTAATGAAGTACATTAACAGAATTTACAAGCTGCTGTGCTGAAAAACAGTCCGATGATAAATAATGGTTGATGGTTCATTGGTGCTGTAGGCTACTCACCATTGCATGATTCTGCCATGTGGGGTCAGCTGGACACTTTAAAAACTTTGGTTGAGCTCAACGCTGATTTTCAAGCTATCAGTTTCCGGGAAGGCTGTTGATGTGGCCCGGCGTTATAAAAAACTGGACTGCGCAGAGTATCTGGCATGGGCTGGTAAGAAAGAGAAATATTTCAGCACATAATGCTAGAGTCAAATCTTGTTATGATTAAGGCCGATGATTTTTTTTTTCCTCCTAACAGAGGCCAAACAAAGTTTGCACGCATTAATAGAAGATATCAGAAACATTATAGCTGATCCAGAGAAAGTTCAAGGGAAGCTCAATAAAGAGGACAAGGTAATTAATTATTCATAATATCCTTAGTGAAATAGTTTCAGATAGTCTAACATTTTTAGCAAACCCAAAAGTACACATTCCCTAATCATTGTTTATGTGTTGCTAGACCGTGTGTATAAACACCTGTTCAGCAAAATCTGACTGAATACACAACACCAAAAATGCAACAATTCAAGACTTCATGGAACAGAAGAAGCACCTCGAAGACATACTGGCACCTGTTCTGCTCAAGCTTAACACTCAATGTGAGAACTGCTGTATCTGATTTTTTCTATTTGCATATAAGTTAACATCTTGGTATTTTACTTCATTCAGTATCAAACAGTGCATAATTAATGTACAGTTTTTCATTTCAAGGAATAGTTCTCCCAAAAATTAAAATCACCCCATGATTTACTCACCCTCAAGCCATCTTGGTGTATGTGACTTTCTTCTATCAGACGAATGCAATCGGAGTTATATTTAAAAAAAAATGTCCTGGCTCTTCCAAGCTTTATCATATGAATAGGGGTTAAGATTTTTAAGCAAAATAAAGTGCAACCATCCATCATAAAAAGGATGGTTCCAGGGGGTTAATAAAGGCCTTCTGAAGCAAATCGATGCGTCTGTGTAAGAAAAATATCCATATTTAAAACTTTATAAACTGTAATCTCTAGCTCTAGCCAGGACATTTAAAAAAAAATATATAACTCTGATTGTATTCATCTGAAAGAATAAAGTCACATAGACCTCGGATGGCTCGAGGCGGTGTAAATCATGGGGTAATTTTAATTTCTGGGTGAACTATACCTTTAACCCAGCACATTTCTGCCAAAAAAAAAAAAGTTTGATATTTGTGTGTTTTATTTTTTTATTACCTAAACAAAGTTTTTTGTTTATTTTTTATTCACAGCTGAAGCCACAACAAAGACAAGAAAGCCTCAACTATATTGCACAGAGGCATTATGCCGTTCAAATTACAATAAATATATTTAGAAAAATTGGTTACATTTACTCAATACATGTTCTGCATTTAGACTTTTCAAAGATTTATAATTAGAGACCCTAAGATGAACATTTTATGATTCCTGACACAGAATTGCTACACAATTTTATTTGGAAAATAAAAATAAATAAATAACTTGAAAACTTTTAATCGCTGTTTAATCTGTTTAATTTAGAACGTGTATTGTACATTTTTAAATTATTTACTGATAAAAAAAGTACAAATTACAGTGACAAATTAAAGGGGTCATATGATGCGATTTCAATTTTTCTTTTCTCTTTGGAGTGTTACAAGCTCACGCGAGTTTTGAGCAGTGTAGAGTAGCGCTTGTTGTTTGTCGTTTCTCCGATCACAAATGCAGACATGGTTTAATGTGTACACGGCGCGGCGCGATGCAACGCAACGTGTAAAAAGACAGTATATGTCATTATAGTCCCTAATTATGTCCCCACTGGATGCAACGAATGCCTCGTTTATAATGGGTTTTAATGTTTTTGACAAAAACATTAAAACCCATTATAAACGAGGCATCACAGTATGGTAAGGGCCGTAACATTTCCGTCACACGCTTGAGGTATTCAGCCAATC